AGCAACCCCTACCCCCAGCGCCTCCTTCTGAGCCCAAATTGGGAGAGGCCGGTTCGCTCAATTGACACCTGTCAAGCAGAGAGGAGGGAACCCCTTATTTGCAAAAACATTGGTTGAAAGCGGAGTGGAAGCATCATAGCGCACTAGAGGTGGCCACAGGAGATGGTCAAAGATGTCCAGAGCGTTAATGTGGCCCCCGTGAGATTCTTGTCCCACCTCAGCTACACAGCCGAGTCAGAGCCTCTCTCCCTTCCTGCCCCTGAATGAGCCAACCGTTAAGGGCCCTGCCTGGAATTCACGATTTAACTCCAGTTTGCCCGAAGGGTCGTCATCTAGGGGTATGTTCCTTGGGAATTCTGAAGCGAGACCCCAAGAACCAAAGCCGGGCTGAAGGCTTTGATCTTTTCCCAAGGGAAAGCACATCCTAAAACACTTTGCACCCCAAAACACAAACCACCTCGCTGGACTGAATAGCAATTATCTGCAGGGGCCCTTGGACCGGGAACGAACCGGTGTTCCCAACCGGATGCCCTGCGAATGTGTTGGACTTCTCATTTTATCCTTTGCAGACAGCACGGGTGTTCACTTGCATGGCTGCCAAGCCAGCCACATGCACACATTCGCGGACGCCCAGAGATGGAGGCAGCATAGCAAATTAACATCCCTTGTTTTATGGGGCCTGTTCATTAGCAAATGCAGCTCAGCTCTGGCAGATCACGTTTTCTCCCTCCATCCTCGCATCCCCTTCATGCGGCTGAATCGTGCGAGGTGGCTGTCTGGCTCTCGCTGCGTGCAAGTCAGTCTCCAGATCTCAGCGGGGTTCTGTGTTAGAAGGTCTGGCTGGAAAACGCACACGCGCACCCCCTCCTCCCCCAGCTTTCAGAGTCATTAAAGAGATCAATAGACGAACAAAAGGTTTCTGTCTGAACTGGCCTGCAGAATCAGACCTTGCGATAGAAAGCTGAACGCTAGCGGAAGCAGACACCAAGCTTAGATTCCAAATTAATGTGAGGATGCAGGAAAGATTCATCTTCCAACTGGAGTCTCATTTTCCACATGCTGCTTCCCTAATCTCAAGAATGCCCCCTCTGTGGAGCGGGTATTGGCACAATAGGACGAAACATCCAGCTATGCCTGACGTTTTAAAATTGAGAACCCTAATCCTGTGCCACTGAGGATTTCCTAAAAGGCATTTAAGTCCTGTGCACGTAGCAGGGCGAGGAGTGGGAATCTCGAGAATGCCTGGGTGTTAGACTGCTTGCTGAAAACACACACACATGCACTGCTTGGCTGGGTATTTCCATGCCAAGCAAGACAGTCAAGTAATAATTTATTTTAATTGGCACCCTGCTACATTCTTCTGCTACTTGAAAATACCCAGCTGCTGCCTCTTTCTCCTGACACCTGGAGGAATCAGTGCTCAATGGAGGAGGAGGAGGAGGAGGAGGAGGAGGAGGAGGAGGAGGGCTCTCTTCTGCAGTACAATAGATGATTACCTTGGGAAGCTCAAGATGCAAAGACAATGTCCCCCTTAGAAGAGAAGACAAATTCATGCAAGCACGGTTTGCCTTTATATTTGACACACTGTTGGGGTGCTTTCAGACCTGGCACTAACTGTGAGCTCCTTGGGCCAATGCCAGGGCCCTGCGGACCTCGACAGCCCACTGCTGTTGGCCCAGACACATTCAGACCTTTCCCCCATCTTTTTAAACGCTAAGGCCAGACAGGAATGCTGGCTCACCTTCCCCCTCTAATTCTCCAAGGATGAATTCCAATCCGGGTGTTCCCTGTTCAAGGGCGACTGCTGAATCACTACCCTCACTGGTTCCCCTTGTGCTTAGAGCTGGGTTTCTCAACCTTGGCCACTTTAAGGTGGGTGGACTTCAACTCCCAGAATTCCCCAGCCAGCATGCAAAAACCCTGCTTCTAACAGCATGCTGGCTGGGG